CAAATGAGTTTTACAGACCCGCGTTCAAAAAGAGTCTTCGAAGAAATCGGGAAAAAATTACAACTTTATCTGAGTACTTTAAATAATTGGATCCTGCCGTTAAACGAAGATATCTAGAGAAACTAGCCGCCGTGGGTTTGGAATAATTCTGTGAGATTAGCCTGAAATAGCGCCGTACAGATACATGATCCGCTCTTTTAGGATAAGTACCGCTTAAAGTGTCTGCAACCCCAGATTTTCCATTAAAATGAAAGGCGTTGTCGCTACCTTTGTTTAATACAAAAGGTTTCTCAAGGCACCGCTTTGTCAGAATCTGCGAAGGAAGCTTTTTTTTCGATTCACTGCACACGAACATAAAAGGCTGCAGGAAGGGAAACAAAAGTCCCACACAGCTAAGAGTTATGGCTTTCGGTCATATCTTAAGAACAGTTTTAAATGGGATGCTGTGGCCTTTCTGGTGGACGGTCGTATGGTGTTTTTTCAAATTAAATTCTCTTCAGAGACGAATTCGTCCAAAACCTCAAGGTAAATGCGACAATCCATTTACACTAACACCTTTCAAAGGCCTTTTATAGGATGTAGTGTGAGGAATTGTGTTAAATGCACCCGACACGGGTCTTTGTGGTACAGGTGATGATCTTAAAATCACACCCTTTGAATTTGGTTTACCTGTGATGGGTAAAAACATGCTGAGTTATCTTTTAACAATAACTTTTGATAACTGAGTTATCCTTCAACAAACTATATAGAAACAAGGAGTGCTGAGTAGACTTTTGACGAAAGTTGACTCTAAAGCATAATTGTATTTTTTCAGCCTTTATATAATTTCAAGTTCAAAATAAATCCTTCGCCAAGTTTGCTCTTGTACGTATTAGGAGCATCCAACACATGTAATAATGCGAAATGTAGAGTAGGTGATCCCAGAGAATTGAAACTGAAACCAAACTACCGAGCGGTAACGAAACTCTTTTCTTTTCGTCGCGGTCAAAATACGTACACTTGTGTAGCCCGATCATAATGGCTTATTTTTCCAAGTTGCGTTAGCAATCTTGGGAATTATCAAGAGAAAAACATTTTTGAGTAAACACCAGCTTTTCAATTTACATTTACTAAAATGTGTTTCTCGACGAACCAAACAAAGATGGCGGCTCTTGAAAATTACCTACGAAGCTTTGCTTGCACTGCATGAATACTGTTCCCTTCTTAGACCATTTTACCCGTCGGAAATATTCGGTGGGTATAGTTGTGATTGAGGAGCAAGAGATTTCTTTGTACATCGTCTCTTTCGAGGTTCGCTTTCGCGCACATCTTATGTCAAGCTGTGCATGTGATTTCTGTGCCAATTCGACGGTGTGGTTCCCTAACCAAATGCTTCACAGTACATTCGTTTTCAACCAGAGCTGCCAGTTGAATCAATAACTCATAATAATGATAAGTTTAGCGTTTGAATCAGAAATTGAAACAGAGATTTTCTCATTATGATGAATCCTTCTTTTGATTTAAGTGCTGTCCTCCAAATCAATTCACACCTTCACCAAAGAAAAGTTGACATGACAGTCGACTGAACCTGCACAGAAAGGGTGAGCTTGTTGCAGGAAAATTAGCTCTAGATTAGAACACAATGAACACAACATGCTTTTCCTTGTTATTAACAAAGTTCAACATACAATGTACTTTCAAGCATTGGTTATATACACATATGTTACTAGTATTGGACAAGAAGGAATATTTAAACAAACTAAATTACATTAGAAAATTGAACTTGAACTGCAGCCGTTGTTAACAACGAATACACGCAGACCATTTAGAGATTTATCTCTGTTTGAAAACATTTCATCCTATTCATGGTAAGATTCACTTCGCAGAATGTTTTGAAGTGAAATGCTTGAAGCTTTAACAGAAATTAAGCCGAGGACATAAAAGTTGTATTTAAATAGAAATCAAATATCTCAGCAAAGGCATTCCCTTCACAACTTTTGGAGCCCTTGCCTATTTCACTGTTTCTTTGAAGAATTCTTATTAAAACTTCAAATTTGTTTAAGGCTTAATGGAACTGATCATACACTGAGTGCACATGTTTACTATGTGCTCGGAAATGAAACACCTGTGTCTATGCTAAGTCTCATCCTTCGCACTAACTGATCTTAAAATAAGAGTTTGGTGTTCATCTCGAATTTATGAAGTTTTGAAGCAAGAAATTCTCGAACCTGTCAAACAGCAAGTAGTGAATTGATTTTTTTCTATGGTATAACATGGAATTATTATCAGCTAAGGAGAGAGCTGAACTTTCAAAATACTGACCTAAGTTTCTCAGACCACATTCTGTAATATCCAAACACGCAATGTTTTCAATATCCATGTATCTCCTTATGCGACCTTTTGACATGGACTTCCATTCAAGTTCATAAACAAGTGTTTTAGAACAGAATCGCCACCGAAAGAACGTCGACATTATTTAAGATGCATTTGTTTTCAAGGACCACGTTACAAAATTGATCGCATCGTGCCCGATGGTAATGTCACTTCGGTCAGAAAATATATTTAAGCGGGCAAATATTGAGCAAAACCGAAAGTAAATTTCAAATTGTCTGAGGAAATTAGGTTCTTTGAGATATACTCACCGGACTGTTTTTTCATTTGAGTTCTTGCTGAAGATGACTGCATTTTAAAGACTAGATTCACTGAGTCAGTGCCGGATTAAATAAAAGCTCTCATCTGCGGATAGCTCAGTTATCGAACCAAAGTAACACATAACAATCTTAAACAGTCAGAACAGAATATTCAAATATCTTTGAAAGTGTTTTATTTTCATCACAAACCACGGGATATTTAAGCTCCAACTGCGGGACACATGGCAGAGAGGAAACAGAACAATACAATTTAAGTTAAAAAGGCCCAGTCATTGGTGGAGCGGTCACGCCTAAAGAGCAATTTCTATAGCGACATCTCCAAATACATTTCCTGCAATATGATTGGTCTAGACAAAACCAAAATAAACTTACGTGACCGAACGAGGACTGGGACTATTCTTTTTTTGTTGCTTTTTTCTGACGACCGTGTAACGGCAGAATAGAATTGACAGCCAACGCTATTCAAACTGCTCTTGACCCAAAGCTTTTTCGGTCCTCTTTCAAGGGATATGATATCAGAGACAAAAATGCAGGACTGAAATGTGGGGATAGCCTAAGCTTTTAAAAAATTGACTGTGACGCCATGTTTCACGACTTCACGGTATAGAAAAAAAACCGTACTATTCATGAGGATTCGATATTACGACTGTTCTGATTGAGTGAAACAGTACGCTTTATTTATGAAAAGACAAAAGCAAAAAGAGAGAATCAATTCCTGACTTTTTACCTTAGATTTTGGTGTATAGAAGACAATGTTTATTTTTACATTGGAAAGTCCACATGAAGCTAGGGGCAACCAATTTTTTGGAGGTATAATTCATTATTCCTCTTTCTAATTTGAAATTACGCTTTTGCAAATATCTTGGACATCCTAACGTACCGACCTTAGCAATACAAAAAGCATTAAGATGAAACGTATTTTCCTGTTCCAGATCAGGAATTGCCTTTCCCTGTGCAGGAGGGTGATGAGATTGGGTGTTTAAAGAATCACAACACGGAAGGTATAGTGTGTAAAAGCATTGAAAATTAAGTAAATATCACTAGAACGTGGGAAGAATACTTTTATAGACGTAATGTAAACAAAATGGAGTGTTGATCCGCAATATTTTACCTCAACTAACGTTTGAGAGTTGTCTAAGTAAAAAAGAATTTATATATTAAAGGGAAAAGAAGACTCTTAGCCTCGGCTCATTTAGCAACTCGGTATGAAAATCTCTTGGAAAAAATTAAAAATTGGAATAAGTCTACTGAGGTAAGAAGTTTCTACAGAAACAATTGTACATGTCAGGCAAAGATTAGTCTTGGTGGGCGCAAAAAAAAAAAGAATTGTATTTTACCCAATATTTTAATTCACACCTGTTGAAATTTCCACAGTCTGTTCTTGATTAAGCTTTTTTATTAATTATTTCTTTTAATATTTAATTTACTTTAAGTAACTATTTATCTATCGATTCTTTATTGCAGAATTGTAACGGACCGTCTTCCAGATATACATTTTTCTATTCATGGATAATTTCACGTTGATCGTAGTTATCTTCTTTTTAGGAAAAATTCAGCTAGACAGATTTTGGAAAAATTAATAAACGATTTTTGTTATTCTTTTAAAAAATAGTCTAATGTTCTCTTGGTTCTATGACGGTTGTTGCGGGTCTGTTCGGTAATAGATGACGTCAAAATGTGGTAAGAACAAAAAAAGTGGCACAGGAGGACCAGTCGAGTGTGTCACTGATGTTCGCACCATATTTTTACACATTCTGTGATCTATTACTGTGCGGAGTGTAATGATATAAAAAAAGGAGCAAAACATTTTTAATAGTGATGTTATCTCCTTTCAACTGTCCACCCTCCAAGAAATCATAAGTCAGAATCAATGACAACGTATGCGTCATTTAGCTTATCATGTTATTAAGCTTTCCATAAGAAACCTTATTAACAATGGCTCTCGACTAATGAGCGCGCGAGAATTTCCACGGTTATTAT